TTTTCTTCTCTTTTCCATTCCCATCCACGCTCCAGACCAGCAGCTCCGGGAAGTCGGTAACTATGGAATTTTTCCTTGGAATTTTTTTTTCCCTTCCCAGCTTTTTTCCCTTTTTCCCACCTTTTTTTCCCCTTGCTGTAGCGAATATTCCAGGATTTTTTTTTTTTTTTTTTGTGGAGCTTTTCCCGGTTTTTCCCTCTTTTCCCGCTGTTTATTCCGGATGGGATCGGGGCCGGCGGGATCTTCCTCTCCCATCCCGCTTTTCCTGCCATTCCCAAAGTTTCCCCGTCCTGAAATTCCCAGAAAATCCGGGAGACGCCTCCTGGGAAAATTCCGGAATGGGAATTGGGAGGGGGAATCGTGGATCGGGAATTCCGTGGGAATTCCGTGGGATCCGGGATGTTGGGACGCAATTCCCGGCGCTCTCGGAGCGGATTTGGAATTCCCGATGCTGGGAAAATCCGATCCTGGAAATCTGATTCCTGATCCGGGGATGGGAGGATCGGGAAGCGCCGGATGGGGCGGAGCTGATCCCAAAAAATTCCAGGGTTTTGTGGGATGTGAATCCAGGTTTTCCGTGGGTTTTCAGGGATGTGGATCCAGGTTTTCCACGGATTTTCAGGAATGTGGATCCAGGTTTTCCGTGGATTTGGGACAATGTAGATCCAGGTTTTCCATGATTTTTACGGGATGCAAATCCAGGTTTTCCAGGGTTTTGGGAGGGATTCGGATCCAGGTTTTCCATGAATTTTCAGGAATGTGGATCCAGGTTTTCCATGGATTTTAAGGGATTTGGATCCAGGTTTTCTGCAGTTTTTAAGGAATGTGGATCCAAGTTTTCCATGATTTTTACGGGATGCAAATCCAGGTTTTCCAGGGCTTTGGGAGGGATTCAGATCCAGGTTTTCCATGGATTTTCAGGAATGCAGATCCAGGTTTTCTGTTGATTTTAAGGAATTTGGATCCAGGTTTTCCATGGTTTTGGGAGGGATTCGGATCCAGGTTTTCCGTGGATTTTAAGGGATGCAAATCCAGGTTTTCCATGGATTTTTAGGGATGCGGATCCAGGTTTTCCGTGGTTTTGTGGGATGCGGATCCAGGTTTTCCAGGGATGTGAATCCAGGTTTTCCATGGTTATTCAGGGATTTGGATCCAGGTTTTCCACGGATCCAGGTTTTCCGTGGTTTTGTGGGATGCGGATCCAGGTTTTCCAGGGATGTGAATCCAGGTTTTCCATGGTTATTCAGGGATTTGGATCCAGGTTTTCCACAGTTTTTAAGGGATTCGGATTCCGGTTTTCCGCAGCTTTTAAGGAACGCGGATCCAGCTTTTCCATGGAATTATTTTTGTGAGTTTCTCTGGGAATTCTGGCTGGGATCCAACATTCCCAGGGCTTCCCATGGAGCTCCGGAATTCCGGGAATTCCTTCCCTGAAGATGCCAAGGGCTCCCTCTCCCTGGGATTTTTCCGGATGGGGAATTCCCAAATCCCGCTCTTTTCCAGCTGGGATCGATCCCGAGGGATTCCCCAATCCCTCCTTTTCCCCATCCCAAATTTTTCCTGGAGCGGGAGGGAATTGGGAAAATCCCCTCAGGCTGGAATCACATCCCAGATTTTTCCCAGGCTGGATTTGCCGAGGAATTTCCGCCCTCAATCCCTCCAAGACATCCCGGATTTCCCGCGGATTCCGAAGGGATTCCTTGAATTCCCGCGGCTCCTCCTCCTCCTTTTCCCGGGAAAAGCTTGGAGCAGCCGGGCCGGGTTTCCTTGGATCCCTGACTCCTTTCCCATCCCTGTTTTCCTTGGGAAAAGGGAGGCGGCTCTGGCTGCTCTTCCCTCTTTTCCAGAGCTTGGGAATTCTGGGAAAACTCCTGGAAAAGCCTGGGAAAAATCCCAGGGGGTTCAGGGAATGAGCGCTGGGAGAAGGAGCTGGAGCAGGGCTGGGAAATCTGGGAATGTTCCTCTGGAGAAGGGAAGGATCCAGGGAGAGCTTCCAGAACATTCCAGGGGCTCCAGGAGAGCCGGGATTTGGGAAAGGCCTGGGAGGGACACGACACAGGGAATGGATCCCACTGGGAAAGGGGAATTTGGGGTGGGATTTTGGGAAGGAATTCTTGGAATTCCGAGATTCCCAGGGAAGCCCCTGGATCCCAGAATTCCTTTGGATCCCATGCCAGGCTGGGAGAGCTGGGAATGGAGGGAATTCCCTGGGAAAGGGGAGATCAGGGTGGAGTTTTGGGAATTGGGAATTCCCGGCTGGAAGGGAATTCCCAGAGCAGCTGCGGCTGCCCCTGGATCCCGGGAATGTCCGAGGAAATCTTGGAGCAGCCTGGAATGGCGGGAATTGTCCCCACCCCTGGAATTCCGTGGGATTTCAGCTCCATTCTCAACCAAACCATCCCAGAATTCCTAAAAAGGAAAAGAATAAAATCCAGGAATTCCTGTGGGATTTCTGCCCCATTCCCGCGTTTCTCCCGACCTTTCCCAGCTTTATCCCGGCTCCCATTCCCGCCGATCTGTCAGAGCTAATCCCAAATTTTTTCAGGCATCCGGAAATCCATCCCAGAGAATTCCCAGAAGATTCCCGGGAATTCAATCCTGCCTGGAGGCATCCAAGGAAAAACAAATCTAAGGAAAAGCCAAACAGCAAAATCCTCCCGGGCTCCTCCGGGGCTTTTTTTCTTCGGGATAAAAATTCTCCGGATCTCCAAAGGTCCCTTGGAACGATCCCAAATCCCGGATTTTCCTCCATTCCCGCTGCTCCGTTCCCAACGGCTCCCCCTGGAAAATTCCCGCTTGGGATCCCTTTGGAATTCTGGCCTTCCCGGAAGGAATTTTGGGATCCGGGGTTTTCCCTTTTCCCTGGAAAAATATTCCCTAAATCCCGCTGAAATCGGCCCTTCCCTCCTTTCCCGCCCTTTTTTCCCTGGATTCTCCTTTCCTCCTGCAGCCATTCCCGCTTTTCCTGCCTCTTTCGACGCTTCCCGTCCTCGTCCCACAGGGCCTGGAATTCCAGCAGGGAATTCTGCAGGGAATCCTGACCCAGGTGTGGAATGAGGGTCGGGAATGGATCCGAATGGATCCGGGAATGGCTGTGGATGGATCCAGGAATGGCTGTGGATGGATCCAGGAACTGATCCTGGGAATGGATCCGGATGGATCTGGATGGATCCAGGAATGAGCCCCAGGGATGGATCTGGATGGATCCAGATGGATCCGGGGATCAGTCCCGGGAATGGATCTGGATGGATCCGGATGGATCCCAGGATCAGCCTCTGGAGCTGTTCCCACTCCAGATGGATCTGGATGGATCCGGGAATGAGCCCTGGGAATGGATCTGGGAATGGCTCTGTAATGAGCCCTGGGAGCTGTTCCTACCCTGGATGGATCCAGGAATTGATCCTGGGAATGGCTCTGGATGGATCCGGATGGATCCCAGGATCAGCCTCTGGAGCTGTTCCCACTCCGGATGGATCTGGATGGATCCAGGAATGAGCCCCAGGAATGGATCCAGATGGATCTGGGAATCAGTCCCGGGAATGGCTCTGGATGGAGTCATTCCCAAATCCCGGCTCTCCTGGAGCCCCTGGAATGTTCTGGAAGCTCTCCCTGGATCCTTCCCTTCTCCAGGAGAACATTCCCAGATTTCCCAGCCCTGGCAGCAGCTCCTCCATCCCTGGCAGCGTCCAAAGCTCTGGGATAACGGGAATTATCCCTCCCTTGGAATTCTCTGGGATTTGAGGTCTTTTCCCGCCCAAACCATTCCGGGATTCCAGAAAATCGGTGGAATTTTGGGATCCGCCCAACCTCGGCCTTGGGATCGGGATCCGCTGGCGGGAATGAGCTCCGGGAAAAGTGGGAGTGGGGCCCAGGGGAGGCTGGGATGGGATTTTTTTGGAATTTTTCCATGGAAAAGGCCCTCAGGCCTCGGCAGGGGCGGCTCAGGGAGGTTTGGAGTCGCCGTTCCTGGAGGAATCCAAGGAATTCCTGGAATTCCACTCTGGGTCGGGATCGGGCCCAGCTGGGGGCTCATCCGGGGGGGCTTTTCCAACCTCTGGAATTCTGGGATCTGGATGCTCCAGAGAGAATTCCCACCTGGAGAGCAGTGGGAAAAGGCTGCTGGGATCAGGGGATCCGGAGCGGGAAAATTTGGGAATTTTGGCATCCAGAGTGGGAAAATTCAGGAATTTGGGCATCCAGAGTGGGAAAATTTGGGATTTGGACATTGAGGATGGGAGAACTCAGGAATTTCAGCATCTAGAGTGGGAGAATTTGGGAATTTTGGCATCCAGAGTGGGAAAATGCAGGAATTTGGGCATCCAGAGTGGGAAAATTTGGGATTTGAGGATCTGGAGTGGCACGATTTGGGAATTTTGGCATCCAAAGTGGAAAAATTCAGGATTTGGACATTGAGAATGGGAGAATTTGGGAATTTTGGCATCCAGAGTGGGAAAATGTTGGGAATTTATGTGAAAAACCAGGAATTGGGCATCCAGAGGTGGGAAATGTGGGATTTAGGGATATGGAGTGGCAGAGTTTGGGAGTTTTGTCATCCAGAGTAGAAAAATTTGGGAATTTGGATGTTGGGAATGGGAGAATTTGGGAATTTCAGCATCCAGAGTGGAGAAATTTGGGATTTAGGGATCTGGGGTAGCACAATTTGGGAATTTTGGCATCCAGAGTAGAAAAATTTGGGAATTTTGGCCTCTAAGGTGGGAAAATTCAGGAACTTGGACATCCAGAGTGGAAAAATTCGGGAATTTGGACATCCAGAGTGGGAGAACTTGGGGATTTGTTGGGAATTTGGGTATCTGGAGTGGGAATATTTGGAATTTTGGCCTCCAGAGTGGGGAAAATTCGGGAATTTGAACATCCAGAGTGCGAAAAATCAGGAATTTTGAAATCCCCGCATCCAGAACGTGAAAACAACGGGAATCCCAGCATCCAGCGCGGCAAAAACCCGGGAATTCCACTCCCATTCCCTTTCCCGTTCCCTCCAGCGCTGGTTCCCGGATTCCGGGCGGGGCTCCGGATCCCGTTTTCCCGGGATCGCGGCTGATTCCCGATCCCGTTTCCCGCAGTGCTGAGCATCGGTGAGGGCGGATTCTGGGAAGGCTCCGTGAAGGGCAGGAGTGGTTGGTTCCCGGCGGAATGCGTGGAGGAGGTGCAGATGCGCCAGTACGACTCCAGGCAAGGTCGGTATCCCGGAATTCCGGACGGAATTCCCGAGGGAATCACCGGGGAGAGCTCCTTTGGTGGGGTGGGAATGGTGGGAATGGGATCCCGAGGGATCGATTCCAATCATGGATCCATCATCAGGGAATGGGGAGTTCGGGATGGGGTGGGATGGGAGCAGAGGGAAAACTGGGAAAATTGGGATTGGTCAGGTGGAAATTCCCAGAATTGTGACCAGAATTCCCAAGGGAATCATCGGGAGAGCTCCTTTGATGGAATGAGGAAAGAGACAATGGTGGGAATGGGATCCCAAGGGATCTGGTCATGGTTGGGATGGGAGCAGAGGGAAAACTGGGAAAATTGGGATTAGTCAGGTGGACAGGGTCAGTATCCCGGAATTCCAGCTGGAATTCCCGAGGGAATCACCGGGGAGAGCTCCTTTGGCGGGGTGGGAATGGTGGGAATGGGATCCCGAGGGATCTGGTCATGGATCCATCATCAGGGAATGGAGAGTTTGGGATTGGTTGGGATGGGAACAGAGGGAAAACTGGGATTGGTCAGGTGGAGAATCGCAGAATTCCGGCTGGAATTCCCAAAGGAATCACGGGGAGAGCTCCTTTGGTGGGGTGGGAATGGTGGGAATGGGATCCCAAGGGATCGATTCCAATCATGGATTCATCGTCAGGGAATGGGGAGTTTGGGATTCGTTGGGATGGGAGCAGAGGGAAAACTGGGAAAATTGGGATTGGTCAGGTGGAGAATCCCGGAATTCTGGCTGGAATTCCCAAGGGAATCACGGGGAGAGCTCCTTTGGTGGGGTGGGAATGGTGGGAATTGTGGGAATGGGATCCCAAGGGATCTGGTCATGGATTCATCATCAGGGAATGGGAAGTTTGGGATTGGTTGGGATGGGAACAGAGGGAAAATTGGGATTGGTCAGGTGGACAGGGTCAGTATCCCGGAATTCCAGCTGGAATTCCCGAGGGAATCACCGGGGAGAGCTCCTTTGGCGGGGTGGGAATGGTGGGAATGGGATCCCGAGGGATCTGGTCATGGATCCATCATCAGGGAATGGAGAGTTTGGGATGGGTTGGGATGGGAGCAGAGGGAAAACTGGGAAAATTTGGATTGGTCAGGTGAAAAATCCCAGAATTCTGGCTGGAATTCCCAAGGGAATCACGGGGAGAGCTCCTTTGGTGGGGTGGGAATGGTGGGAATTGTGGGAATGGGATCCCAAGGGATCTGGTCATGGATTCATCATCAGGGAATGGGAAGTTTGGGATTGGTTGGGATGGGAACAGAGGGAAAATTGGGAAAATTGGGATTGGTCAGGTGGACAGGGTCAGTATCCCGGAATTCCAGCCAGAATTCCCAAGGGAATCACTGGAGCACAAACCCCTTGGGATTGTGGGAATGGGATCCCAAGGGATCGATTCCAATCATGGATTCATTGTCAGGGAATGGGGAGTTTGGGATGGGTTGGGATGGGAGCAGAGGGAAAACTGGGAAAATTGGGATTGGTCAGGTGAAAAATCCCAGAATTCCGGCTGGAATTCCCAAAGGAATCACGGGGAGAGCTCCTTTGGTGGGGTGGGAATGGTGGGAATAATCACGGGGAGAGCTCCTTTGGTGGGGTGGGAATGGTGGGAATGGGATCCCAAGGGATCGATTCCAATCATGGATCCATCATCAGGGAATGGAAAATTTGGGATGGGTTGGAATGGGAGCAGAGGAAAAACTGGGAAAATTGGGATTGTCCAACCTGGAAAAGAGGAAAAATCCAGGATGATCCAATTGTGGCTTCCAGGGCCTGGAGAAGCCGCGGGAAAGATGAAAAGTGGGAATATTTGGAATATTTGGGGTTATTGGGAATATTTGGAATATTGGGAATGTTTGGAATATTTGGAATATTTCCGAGGGTTGGAGGGACTGGGAAAGGCCCCAGACTCCAGGGATAGATGGGAATTGGATCCCGAGGGATGAGTAGAGCCCGGAATTCCCGGGTTTTCCTTGGGAACGGGATCTGGGACCCTCGGGATTGGGGAGGGGGGGCGGAGCGGGGAGGGGGATGGGCAATTCCGAAGGGCCGGAATGTCCGGAGAGGGAGGAGGGAATTCCGGAATTCCTGAATTCCTGTTGGAATGGAAAGTGCCAGGACTGGATGGGATCATGGAGCTGTCAGGATCTGCTGGAAATTCGGGATTCACTGGAAATTCAGGATCTGCTGGGAATTCCTTCCCTCCCTTTTCCCTCCTCTTTCCCAGATTTTCCTTCCCTCCCTCTCTTCCCCCCTTTCCTTTCTTCCCATTTTTCCCTTTCCCATTTGTTCCCATTTTTTCCCCATTTTTCCCACTTTTTCCCACTTTTTCCCATTTTTTCCCACTTTTTCCCATTTTTTCCCATTTTTTCCCATTTTTCCCATTTTTCCCCATTTTCCCCATTTTTTCCCCATTTTTCCCTTTCCCATTTTCCCCATTTTCCCCATTTTTTCCCATTTTCCCCATTTTTTCCAATTTTTTCCTTTTTTCCCATTTTTCTCCATTTTTCCCTTCCCCATTTTCCCCATTTTCCCCCATTTCCCCCATTTTCCCCCATTTTCCCCCATTTTCCCCCATTTTCCCCCATTTTCCCCCATTTTCCCCACCCATTTTCCCCCATTTTCCCCCATTTTCCCCCATTTTCCCCATTTTTTTCCCATTTTTTTCCCATTTTTTCCCCCATTTTTTCCCCATTTTTTCCCATTCCCCTTTTCCCTCCAGGAATCCTTTCCCAATTTCCTCCTCAGCTCCTCCCTTCTCCTCACTCCCATCTGAACCTTCCCAAATTCCTCCTTTCCCTTGGAATTCCCCTTTGGAATCCGAGGTGGGAAAAGTCTGGAAAACTCTGGTGGGCTCATTCCCGACTTTTCCCTCCCTCGGGATCGGCGCCGGCTTCTCCCTCATTCCCAGTTTTCCTCGGCATTCCCGGTGACCTCCGGATTCCCAGGAGCATTCCCAGCTCTTCCCAAAAAACCGGAAGGAAACAGGAATAGGCTGGAGCCTCATTCCAGCCGGGAATTCCTCTGGAATTTCCCCCCCGGATGATTCCCGGCTCCGACATTCCCAAGAATTCCTCGGCCACACGAGGGCCTCTCCCCCCCACGGATTCTCCTCATCCGCCGAGAAATTCCCACCGGGAATTCCCGGCTTTTGCTCCTCCCCGGGGGAGGAAAAACCGGGAATAATCCGGAATTCCGTGGATTTTTTCCCCCGCAGAAACCAGGGAAGACCGGACCAAGCGGCTTTTCCGGCACTACACCGTCGGATCCTACGACAACTTCACCTCCCACAGGTAAGGAGCCGCTCCCGGGAATCCCGGGAATTCCAGGAATTCCAGGAATTCTGGCAATTCCAGGAATTCTGGCAATTCCGGGAATTCTCCTTCCCGCGGGGAAATCCCGCCCTTTTCCACACCGAGCTCCGGAATTCCGTGGGAAGGGGATTTTTTCCGGGAAGAAGGGGGGGAGGTGTCTGGATATCCAAGATTTTTGGGAATTCTGGGAATGTTGACGCATTTCCTGGTTGATATTCCAACCTTCCGGGAATTCCTGGGAATTTTTCCGCATTCCCGACTCGCATTCCGATGGAGAATCCGAAGTTCTGGAGAATTCTGGGAATTTTATCCCCTTCCCATCCCAGCGGAGGATCCAAAATTCCGGAGAATTCTGGGAATGTTTCCCCGTTCCCGCCTGGATTTCCAGGGGAGAATCCAAGATTCCGGGAAAATTTGGGAATGCGGCCGGCAGGGCGACATTCCCGGATTGTGGCTTTGGGAATGTTGGGTTTGGGAGCTCTGGAATTCCCGGATCCGTGGAATTCCGGGAATCTCGGAGCTCATCCGCAACATTCTCCTGCTTTTTTTGAGCTCCTTATCCCGAATTTTGCTTCCCGGAGAATTCCCAGCTCCGAGGAATTGGAGGAGATCCTTGGAATTCCCGGGATTTGCTGCTCCAGGGCCGTTCCTGTCGGAAAAATCGGGAAAGAGGGGAAAAAAAATGAGGTGAAAAAAAATGAGAGGAAACTCCGGAAAATCCCTGCTGGGATCGCGGGAAGAGCGGGAAAAAAGCGGGAATTCCCGGACTAGGCGAAATTCCAAGGAAAGGAGGGATTGAATCCACAGGAATCCCGGGATTTCCTTTGGGAATCAAATCCTGGGAAAACACCAGGAGGGGCTCTTGGCCACGAGTTGGAATTCCCGGGAATTTTCACCGGGAATTTTCACCGGGAAGCGCCGGAATTCCGACAGAGGAATGGGGCAGGAAGAGGAATTCTGGGGAGAGAAAAACTTGGGAAGATCCCAAAATTCCACAAATCCCTTGGAGCCGGGAACGCTCAGGGGGAGGAAAATTTGGGATAAGGAGCTCAAAAAAAGCAGGGAAACATTACAGATGAGCTCCAAGATTCCTGGAATTCTGTGGATCTGGGAATTCCTCAGCTCAAAGCAAATTTAAAGGGAATTTAAAGGGAAAAAAATTGGGAAGAGGCCAGAGTGGGATTGGATCCACAGGGAGGGCTTGGATTGATCCCGAAAATCCTTTGGGAATGGTTTGGGAAAAGTTGGGATCCCAGAATTCCCAGGGATTCAGTGGGATCATGGAGCGGTTCGGAATCCCTGGGAATTTCGGGATAAATCTGGATCTGAGACGGAAAAACTCGGCCGGGATGGAATTCCCGGCATTCCCGGGTTTCCTTTGGAATCGGGAATCCCTCAAAGGCAGGAGCCGGGATGTGCCGGATGATCCCAAAATTCCCATCATTCCCGAAATCCGGGAATGGGAAAACCGGGAAAATCCACCCGGAGGGGACGGATCCGAACCCGGATTTTTCTGGAAGGGAAATCCCGGCGGGAATCACCTTGGGAATGAAAGGAAAGGATCGAGGAAGCTCCAAATTAATTCGGGAATTAAAGGCAGGAAGGGGAAAAATCGGGAGCAGGAGCCGATCCCGGATTTGTGGTGGGATCAGGGAGAGGAATTCCCTGGAAAACCGGGAATTCTTGCTCCTGGAATGCCGGGGCTGGAAAAAGGCGGGGAGATGGAAAATGCTGGAATTTTGGCGGTGGGAATGACGGGATTGTGGAATTTGGGAATTGTGGAATTGGGGTTTTTTTGGGAAATCTGGGAATTCCTTCCCGAGTTTCCAAAGCTGGAGTTTCCCTGCACAAAGGGGCTGAGTTTCCGTTGGAATTCCAGCTGGAATGGGACCAGGAATGGGATTGGGAATGAGAACGGGAATTTTCCCCATCCCTGTGGAATGCCGGGAGTTAAAGGTTGGGTTTGGATCATGAAAAACTCTGGAAAATGATTGGAAAAGGATTGGAAAAATCATGGAAAAGAAATTCCTGGAGAAGCCTTTGGTGCCCGAGGCTGAGTGGAAAACCTGGAACAGGAGCTGGAATGGGATTGGGAATGGGAGCCGTAACTGGACCTGGAATGGGACCAGGAATGGGAACTGGAATTTTCCCCATCCCTGTGGAATGCTGGGGGTTAAAGATCGGGTTTGGATCCTGCAAAACTCCGGAAAACCCTTGGAAAACTCATGGAAAACCCATGGAAAGGGAATCCACCGCCATCCCAGCCTTCGGTGGCCACAGCCGAGCAGAAAACCAGGAACAGGAGCGGGAATCCCGGGAATGGGACCTGGAATGGGACTGGGAATTTTCCCCTTCCCTGTGAAATGCCGGGTGTCAAAGCTCGGGTTTGGATCAGGAAAAACAATGGAAAACTCATGGAAAACTCATGGAAAAGAAATTCCTGGAGAAGCCTTTAGTGCCCAAGGCTGAGTGGAAAACCTGGAACAGGAGCTAGAATGGGAATGGGAATGGGACCAAGAATGGGATTGGGAATGGGAGCTGGAATTTTCCCCATCCCTGTGGAATGCTGGGGGTTAAAGATTGGGTTTGGATCCTGCAAAACTCTGGAAAACCCTTGGAAAACTCATGGAAAACCCATGGAAAGGGAATCCACCGCCATCCCAGCCTTCGGTGGCCACAGCCGAGCGGAAAACCTGGAACAGGAGCTGGAATCCTGGGAATAGGACCTGGAATGGGACTGGGAATTTTCCCCATCCCTGTGGAATGCCGGGAGTTAAAGGTCGGGTTTGGATCCAGCAAAACTCCGGAAAACTCATGGAAAACTCATGGAAAACCCATGGAAAAGGAATTCCTGGAGAAGCCTCTGGTGCCCAAGGCTGAGTGGAAAACCTGGAACAGGAGCTGGAATGGGATTGGGAATGGGACCCGGAATTGGACCAGGAATGGGATTGGGAATGGGAACTGGAATTTTCCCCGTCCCTGTGGAATGCCAGGAATTAAAGGTCGGGTTTGGATCAGGAAAAACAATGGAAAACTCATGGAAAACTCACGGAAAAGGAATTCCTGGAGAAGCCTTTGGTGGCCGCGGCCGAGTGGAAAACCTGGAACAGGAATTGGAATGGAATTGGGAATGGGAGCCGGAATTGGACCGGGAATGGGACCAGGAATGGGATTGGGAATGGGACCTGGAATTTTCCCCGTCTCTGTGGAATGCCAGGAGTTAAAGATCGGGTTTGGATCCGGCAAAACTCCGGAAAACCCTTGGAAAACTCATGGAAAATCCATGGAAAAGGAATTCCCAGCGAAGGCTATCCCAGCCTTTGGTGGCCGCGGATGAGCGGAAAACCTGGAAGAGGATTTGGAATCCCGGGAATTCTCGTTCCCTCCGGAGCGGCGGGAGTTAAAGGTGGGAGTCGCTCTGGGCGCCGCCCCCGGCAATTCCAGCTCTTTTTAGAATCCCGGGAATGGGCGGGAATGGATGGAGCCGTGATTCATCCCGGCTCCCACGCTTCCCGAGGCACCTGGAACCCGCCCACATTCCCGGTGACGCCGATCCCGCTCCGCCCACATTCCCAAAGTTTGGGGAAAAGCAGGAAAAAAAGCCACCCTGGAAAGAATTCCAGGGAAAAAAAGAAAAACCCGGAGCGATGTGGGATAACGGGAATGTTCGGGAATGATCCCGAGTGCCTTTTCCAACCCAAAAATCCCCGGATTCCAAAGGAAAAGGGGGAAATCGGGAAGGGAAATCCTGGATCTGCTCGGTTATTCCAGGGGGAAAAGCGTCCCAGGGAATGTTGGAATGACTGGAGAGGGATTCGGCTCCCTGGGAATTTTTGGATTCCTGAGGCTGCTGGAGGAATCCCCAAAATCCATGGAATTCCCGAGGTGGGAAAAACGAGGTGACCAGGGCTGGAATTCCGGGAATTCCTCGGATACCTCCAGGGCTGGAAATTCCATGGGAAAATCCTGGAATGGCTCGGGTGGGAATGGAGCTGGAATTCCGCCCAATCCCAGCCTTTGGAATTCCAGCCCAGCCGGGAGAATTCCCAAATCCCGGCTCTTTTTTCTCCCATGGAATGGGAAAAGCGTCTCCACAGAGCCCCTCGGGTCTGCTCCGGACAGAATTCCCAGTTTTCCATGGAATTCAGCCTTTCCCAAGCTATTTTTGGCCTTGGAATGTGATCACGGATCCCCCTGGGATCCTTGGAAGCTTCCAAGGCCGGGTTGGAGCGGCCTGGGATCATGGAATTCTGGGAATTCCTGGAATTCCCTTCTCTAGCCGAACCTTTCCAGGATCCCAGGATATTCCCGGCGCTCCCCGCAAACGGGAGCTGATCCCAGACAATTCCAGAGGCTCGGGAATTCCAGGGAAACCTTTCCAAGATGAGTTTCCCTTCCCATCCTCCCTCCCCATTCCCATTTCCATGGAACGGCGCCGCTCCAGCCCGGAGCTTTTCCAGCTTTTTCCAGGATTCCAAGAATCCCATCCCGCAATTCCACGGCCGGATCCGGGATTTGGGAAGCGCAAAATCGCTCGGGAATTGGGAATTGTCTCCCTACGGAATCGATTCCAGGAGCGGAATTCCAGCCGGGAGGGGGCAGAGGGACAATTCCCGCAATTCCAGGCTGCTCCAAGATTTTCCTTGGACATTCCCAAGATCCAGGGGCAGCCGCAGCTGCTCTGGGAATTCCAGCCCATCCGGGAATTCCCAATTCCCAAAATCCCACCCTCATCTCCCCTTGCCAGGGAATTCCCTCCATTCCCAGCTCTCCCAGCCTGGCATCGGATCCAAAGGAATTTTGGGATCCAGGGGTTTCCCTGGGAATCTCGGCACTGCAGGAAGGGTCTCCCTTCCCTTTTCCAGCCCCAACTTCCAGAAAAATCCCTCGGGATGGATTCGGAACCTCCCAAATCCCAGAATGGTTTGGGATGGGATCCAGGGACCTTCAGTCCCACCCCATTCCAATCCCACCATCCCAGGCTGCTCCAAGCTTTCCCTGGACATTCCTGGGATCCAGGGGCAGCCCCGGCTGCTCTGGGAATTGTCTCCCTATGGAATGGATTCCCAAAGCGTTCCCGGTGCTGGATCCATTCCCTGCCAGTGATCCCGGCATCCGCTCTTTCCCGGTGATCCGGTTGATCCAGGGTGTCCGAGGTGTTCCTGGCAGGATCCCATCCCTTCCCAGTGATCCCGGCTCCAGATCCCTTCCCTCCCAGTATTCCCATCATTCCCCTCATTCCCATCCCTCCCCAGTATTCCCATTTTTCCCTGCTGCTTTCATCCCTCCCCAATATTCCTGACTTTCCCAACATTCCCAACATTCCCAGCCCCTCCCACTGTTCCCCTCTCTCTGCATCCCTCTCCAAACATTCCCAGCATTCCCAAACATTCGCAATATTCCCAATCCCTCCCACTGTTCCCATTCCTCCCCAACATTCCCAACATTCCCCATCCCTCCCATCCCTCCGACTGTTCCCATCCCCCTCCAACATTCCTCATCCTTCCAAATCCCTCCCAGCATTCCCATCCCTCTCCATCCTTCCCATCCCTCCAAATCCCTCCCATCCCTCTCCAACATTCCCGTCCTTCCCATCCTTTCCAATATTCCCATCCCTCCATTCCCTCCCAACATTCCCATTGTTCCCATCCCTTCCAACATTCCCATTCCTCTGGATCCGTCTCATTGTTCCCATCCCTCTCCCAACATTCCCATCCTTCCCATCCCTCTCACAGTTCCCATCCCTCCATCTCTCTCCAACATTCCCATCCTTCCCATCCCTTCCCAACATTCCCATCTCTCCCAACGTTCCCATCCCTCCCAACATTCCCATCCCTCTGATTCCTTCCCATTGTTCCCATCCCTCCCAATATTCCCATCCCTCCGATTCCTTCTCAATGTTCCCATCCCTCTGCCAACATTCCCATTGTTCCCATCCCTCCCAACATTCCCATTGTTCCCATCCCTCCCAACATTCCCATCCCTCCCAATGTTCCCATCCCTCTCCAGAATTCCCATCCCTCCCCTCCCATTGTTCCCATCTTTCCCATCCCTCCCCATCCCTTCCCAACATTCCCATCCCTCCGATTCTTTCCCAACATTCCCATCCCTCCCAACATTCCAATCCCTCTCCAGAATTCTCATCCCTCCCCTCCCTCTGTTCCCATCTCTCCCAACATTCCCATCCCTCTAATTCCCCCCAACATTCCCATTGTTCCCATCCCTCCCAACATTCCCATCCCTCCCATGTTCCCATCCCTCTCATCCCTCCCAACATTCCCATCCCTCTCCAACATTCCTCATCCCTTCCCAACATTCCCATCCCTTTCACAGTTCCCATCTCTCCCAACATTCCCATCCCCCTGATTCCAACAATCCCATCCCTCCGATTCCCTCCCATATTCCCATTGTTCCCATCCCTCCCAACATTCCCATTGTTCCCATCCCTCTCCAACATTCCCATCCCTCTGATTCCCTCCCGCTGTTCATTCCCATCCCTCCCAACATTCCCATTGTTCCCATCCCTCCCAACATTCCCATCCCTCCGATTCCCTCTCACTGTTCCCATCCCTCCCAACATTCCCATTGTTCCCATCCCTTCCCAACATTCCCATCCCTTCCGGATCCCTTCCCAACATTCCCATCCCTCCGATTCCCTCCCGCTGTTCATTCCCATCCCTCCCAACATTCCCATTGTTCCCATCCCTCCCAACATTCCCATTGTTCCCATCCCTCCCAACATTCCCATCCCTCCGATTCCCTCTCACTGTTCCCNTCCCCCTCCCTCCATCCATCGCCGCTGGATCATTCCCGGTTTTTCCCAGGGATCCGTCCCTTAGCAACGCGCCGGAATTTCGGGATCGATCCTGCGGGATCCAGAGGATCCAAACTGTGCCCCGCTCCTCCGCCGCTTCCAAACGAGATTCCCGCATTTTTTTTTTTTTTTTTGGGAAAAAACCGGGTTTTTTTTTTGGGAAGAGCCCGCTCCCGATGAGGCTCCGCGGGTGAAGCTGCGGATCCCGGAATTCCCGGAATTCCAGAATTCCTCTGGACTGCGAGGGATCGCGGTGGGCAGCGGGGGAGATCCAGGATTTTGGGGGTTTTTATCCCTTTTATTCCTTCTTTTTCCTCCTTTTCCTCCCGCCGAGGCGATTTTCCGTCTTTTTTGGTGTAAATTTGGGAATTAAATAGAAAAAGGAAAATCCAAGGGGAAAAAATAAAGCAACAAAAAAACTGGGAAGAAAATCGAGGAGGAGAAAAAAAAATCGAGAAGAAAACAAAAAAAAACGGGAAAGAAAAAAAAATCGAGGAAAAAAAAATCTGGGAAATGAGGAAAATCAAGGAAAAAAAATCCAGGGAATAAGAAAAATCAAGGAAAAGGATCCAGGGAATAATATCGAGGAAAAGAATCAAGGAAAAAAAAAATCCAGGAAAGAAAAAACCGTGGAAAAAAAAATTAACAGAGAATAAGAAAAATCAAGGAAAAAAATCAAGGAAAAAAAAATAATTCAGGAAAGAAAAAAATAGAGGGAAAAAAAAATCCAGGAAATAAGGAAAATCAAGGAAAAAAATCCAGGAATTAAGAAAAATCAAGGAAAAAAGTCCAGGGAATAAAAAAAATCAAGAAGAAAGAAAATCCAGGAAATAAAAAAAATCGAGGAAAAAAAATCCAGGAAAGAAGAAAATCAAGGAAAAAAAAATTCCCAGGAAATAAAAACTCAGGGGAAAAATAGAAAATCAAGGAAAAAAAATTCCAGGAAATTAAAAAAAAAAAATAAATCCGGGAAATTTTAAAAACCCGGAAGAAGGAAAAAAAAAGAGGAAGAGAGGGAGGAGAAGGCGAGGAGGAGGTGACAGGGCCACATCTGGATGGGGACAGAGCCACACCTGGATGGTGACAGCCATACCTGGATGGTGACAGCCACATCTGGATGGTGACAGAGCCACACCTGGATGGTGACCAGAGGCCACCTGGCTGGTGACAGAGGCCACCTCTGGATGGTGACAGCCACATCTGGATGGTGACAGCCACACCTGGATGGGGACAGGGCCACACCTGGATGGTGATTGCCACATCTGGATGGTGACAGAGCCACATCTGGATGGTGACAGAGCCACACCTGGATGGGGACAGCCACACCTGGATGGTGACAGAGCCACCCCTGGATGGTGACTGCCGCACCTGGATGGTGACAGAGCCACACCTGGATGGGGACAGCCACACCTGGATGGTGACAGGGCCACACCTGGATGGGGACAGCCACATCTGGATGGGGACAGACACCGCTTCTTCAAGTGCCACCCCCAGCAGGTGACAGAGCCACCCCTGGATGGTGACCAGAGGCCACCTGGCTGGTGACAGAGGCCACCTCTGGATGGGGACAGAGGCCACCTCTGGATGGGGACAAAGGCCATGTGGATGGGGACAGAGGCCACTCCTACAAAGGCCACCCCTGGATGGTGACAGAGGTCACCCCTGGATGGTGACAAGGGCCACCCTCAGCTGGTGACCAGGGCCAGCCGTGGATGGTGACAGAGGCCACTCCTACAAGGGTCACCAGGCTGGTGACAAGGGGCACCCAGGCGGTGACAGAGGCCACACCTGGATGGTGACCAGAGCCACCTGGATGGTGACAGAGGCCACTCCTACAGGTGCCACCAGGCTGGTGACAGGGGCCACCCTTGGATGGTGACCAGAACCACCGGGGAGGTGACAGAGGCCACCTCAGCTGGTGACCAGAGCCACCCCCAGATGGTGACCAGAGCCACCAGCCTGGTGACAGAGGCCACCTCTGGATGGTGACAGAGGCCACCCCCAGATGGTGACCAGAGGCCACCTCAGCTGGTGACCAGAGCCACTGGGGAGGTGACAGGGGCCACCTCTGGATGGTGACAGAGGCCACCCCTGGATGGTGACCAGAGCCACCAGCCTGGTGACAGAGGCCATCCCCGGATGGGGACAGAGGCCACCCCTGGATGGTGACCAGAGGCCACCTCAGCTGGTGACCAGAGCCACTGGGGAGGTGACAGAGGCCACCTCTAGATGGTGACCAGAGCCACTAGCCCGGTGACAGAGGCCACCCCCGGCTGGTGACAAAACCCATCCCCGGCCACCACCAAGCACCACCGGGCCGCCAACAAAAGCCACCCCTGGCTGGTGACAGAGGCCACTCCTCCCAAAGGCCACCCCCAGGCGGTGACAGAGCCCCGGTGGCCGTGTCCCCTCGGTGTCCCCGCGGTGTCCCCGCGGTGTCACCATGGTGCTGCGCTCTAACCCCGGCATCGCCCTGCTCTGCTCTTTCCTGCCCAGCGACTACATCATCGAGGAGAAGGCGGCCGTGCTGCAGAAACGCGAGCATGAGGGCTTCGGCTTCGTCCTCCGCGGGGCCAAAGGTGAGCCACCATTCCTTTCTCCCGCATTTTATTCCCGGGGTTTTATTCCCGCGGTTTTATTCCCGTTTTTTCCCGTTTTTCCCGGTTTTTTTGGGGGGTTTTTTTGGGGTTTTTTTTGGGTTTTTTGGGGTGGATTCAGAGCCGGGATGGGGTTTTTTGGGGGGTTGGAGTGAGGTTGGGGGTTTGGGGTTTGGAGGGGGTTTGGATGCCGGTGCTGTGGAATTTTTGGGAATTTGGGGTTCTTTTTACTTGAGGGATTCTTATTCCCGGGATTTTCATTCCTGGGATTCTCATTTCCAGGCTCCGAAGGGATTTTCCTCCCTTCTTTTGTGCCTGGTCCTGGTGCTGAGGCTCGGGATTTTGGGGGATTTTGGAGCTGCTGATGCCGTGGAATTTTTGGGATTTGTGGCTTCTTTTCTCTGAGGGATGAATGCTCGGGGTTCTCATTCCCGGGATTCTCATTCCCAGGCTCCGAAGGGATTTTATTCCCTGCTTTTGTGCCTTATCCTGGTGCTGAGGCTTGGAATTTTGGGGAGTTTCAGTGCTGGAACTGCTGCTGCTGCTTTGGAATTTTTGGGAATTGGGGTTCTCATTCCCGGGGTTCTTATTCCTGGGATTCTCATTCCCGGGATTCTCATTCCCAGGCTCCAAAGGGATTTTCCTCCTTTCTTTTGTGCCGTGTCCTGGTGCTGAGGCTCAGAATTTTGGGGGATTTTTCTGCTGTTGGTGCTGCTTTGGAATTTTTGGGAATTGGGGGTTCTTTTTCCTGAGGGATTCTCATTCCCGGGATTCTCATTCCTGGGATTCTCATTCCCAGGCTCCAAAGGGATTTTCCTCCCTGCTTTTGTGCCTTGTCCTGGTGCAGAATTTTGGGGGATTTTGCTGCTGGAGCTGCTGGTGCTGCTTTGGAATTTTTGGGGAATTGTGGCCTCTTTTCCCTGAGGGATGAACGGCTCGGGGTTCTCATTCCCGGGATTTTCATTCCCAGGATCCTCATTCCCAGGCTCCAAAGGGATTTTTCCTTCCTGCCTCGTTCAGTATCAAGTCTGGGGTTGTGGAATTTTGGGGGATTTTGGTGCTTTTGGTGGTGCTTTGGAATTTTTGGGAATTTTCCCTCCTTCTCCCCGAGGGATAAACAGCTGGGAATTCTCATTCCCAAAAATCCCGGAGGAATCCGAAGGGATTTTCCTTCCCGGATTTCTGCTGCTGCCGTCGGAATTTTTTGGGGTGGGGGGTGGTTTGCTGTAGATGCCGCTCGGAATTCCCGGGAATTATCACTTTGCTTCCCGGAGGGATCAGCGACCCGTGCCCGGCTCCGGAGCCCCATTCCCAAAAATCCTCCGTAGGAATTCCCTCATTCCATCTTTTCCTTTCCCGCTTTCTGGGGGTTCTGCTTGGAATTTTTGGGAATTTTCACTCCTTTTCCCTGTGGGAATCAGCGGCTCCTGCCCAGCTCCATCCCAGGCTTGGAATTCTCGGAGCTTTTCCCTGGATTTTGGCCGGGGAGATTCGAGGACTTTGGGGATCCCTGGGGAAAAACCGGGAGAGCTTTTCCCTCTCTCCCCATTCCGGAGCTCATTCCCGGCTCATCCCAGGGCCGGGATCATTCCCGGGATTTTTTTTCCCGTGGCTTCTTTGGCCAGAATTCCGCCTTTTTCTGCGGAAAAAAAAAAAATCCCTCGGAGACTCGGGAATGTTCCTGTGGATTTTCGGGAAGAGGAGGCGGGAAAATCTCGGGATGCAGGGACCTCTCCACCCCCGGCATTCCCGGGAGCAGAGGGACGGCGGAGCCGTTTTCCACGTGGGAGGAAATCTGGGAAGAGCTGCAGATCCCGGCTGGAATGGGATTTTCCAGCCGAATTCCTGGCTTTTCCCTCATTCCCTCCCTTCTCCCGAGGTTTTCCATCCCGGCGGGAATTTCGCTCCCGTTCCCTACGGATTTTCCATCCGCGGAACACCGGGATCAAAATGGCATCCGGAGGGTTTTTATTTTTCTCCGGGATCGATCCAATGAAGTTTTTTTTGTGTTGGAAAAACTGGGAATTTTAATCCCATTCCTGGTTTTTTCCCCCCTTTTTTTTTTCCTTCCCCTTCCTGGTTCCCGTTCCGTTCCGGGTTTCCCTTCCTGTGCTGAGGCTGAGGGAAGATCTCAGGGATTCGGGAATTCTGCGGGATCTGGGAATTCTGCGGGATTCGGGAATTCTGAAGGATCTGGGAATTCTGTGGGATCTGGGAATTCTGTGGGATTCAGGAATTCTGAAGGATCTGGGAATTCTGTGGGATTCGGGAATTCTGCGGGATCTGGGAATTCTGCGGGATCTGGGAATTCTGCAGAACATGGGAATTCTACGGGATTCAGGAATTCTGAAGGATCTGGGAATTCTGCGGGATCTGGGAATTCTGTGGGATTCAGGAATTCTGCGGGATTCGGGAATTCTGCAGGACATGGGAATTCTGTGGGATCTGGGAATTCTGCAGGATTCAGGAATTCTGCGGGAGACGGGAAGCTCGTGGATTCAGAGGGATCCTGGCATGGAAGATCCAGAATCTGGGAATTCTCCCTCTGGATCAGCATTCCCGAATTATGGAAGTGCCTCGGAATCCCCTTATTTCCCAGCCCCTCATTCCATGGATTTTGGTCTGGGATTCCATGGATTTTAGAGCAGGAATTGGCCCTGTCCCTCTGCCTTTGGATTTTCCTGGAAAAACATTCCAGGCCTGTGGGGAAAACAGGGAAAAGGGGCTGGAAAAGGCAGGGCTGGAGCTTCATCCATGGAGGGAGGGGGATTTTGGGAATCCTTGGAGGAACTTGCTCTTCCTGCTGCAAATTCCTCCCTGGAATGTTCCCATCCATGGGGTCCTTCCCAGCCCTGCCCGATTCCTGAGGGGAATGTCCTCATCCCATGGATCCCATGGATCCCATGGATCCCATCCCATGGATCCCATCCCATGGATCCCATGGATCCCATGGATCCCATCCCATCCCATCCCATCCCATGGATCCCATGGATCCCATCCCATGAATCCCATGGATTCCATCCAATCCCATGGATCCCATCCCATGGATTCCATCCCTTGGATCCCATCCCATGGATCCCATCCCATGGATCCTATGAATCCGATCCCATGGATCCCATCCCATCCCATGGATCCCATCCCATGGATCCCATCCCATCCCATGGATCCCATCACATCCCATGGATCCCATCCCATCCCTTGGATCCCATCCCATGGATCCCATCCCAAGGAACCGAGTTATTCCCATTTATCCCGGCCCCTGCAGAGCTGATCTTTCCCCATCCCCAATCACTCGGGAATTCCCAAGGAATCCTCTGGAATCTGAATCCCTGGA